GAAATAAAGTATATCAGCTATATCCACAACAAACCTACATTGAACCTTGTACGCAAACAACGACCGCTGAGAAGCGTCGTAATACTTTATATATTGTAATTAATATAAGGAGAAATATAGATAACACCTACACAGATTAAAAAAAAACATAAATAACAGAAAAACAATGAATAAAATCAACTATTTTCAATTGAGATACCAGCTTCAAATATTCGCGCGCAATAATAGCCAAAATAATAAAATTAAAACAGAGTTCACCATCACTGAAATAGTCCAGATTTGATTATTATGAACCTTAAAATTTGTATTGCCACGTAGAAAATTAGGGAAGACAAAAACTTCAGGAGGAGACAACAATTTATTCCAGGCAAGGACAAACTATCAGTGAATATAGTTTTACGGGCTACTAACCAAAGGTTATGATTTTTGAGCCCAAACGCGATGTCAGGTGGCAAGAGACCCTAAGATCTGGCGGCAGGAGATGTCTAGCAGGGGTGGTGGAAAATTTGGGCAAGCAGGAGAAAGGACAAACTATGAATGGTAAACAAAAGATAAGCCACGAGGGAAATTTACAGAGTAGCAAAATATAAACATAAAAATGACCTCTCTGTTAATAAAATAATAAAATTAATAAATACTTTGTTACAATATTTACAAACACACACAAAGATTAATCAATATACAAGTACGTGAATACTATTATAAATACCCTTTTTAGGAATGTTGATATCATCTTGTTTGCATATTTTAATTATGTCCAAATAGGTAAGATTATCTCTGTAAAGTCCTAAAATATAACCTCTTATGAAATTATAGTATTTGAAGGGCATTTTCTTTTTAAATAACAAAATATATGTATTGCGTGTTAGAATTAGCTTAAGACTTTTCGAATTCCACGTTGTGGATTTTTTAAAATAAAGTAATAGTTCATTTTTTTACACCAGGCGCTCGTTTCCTATAAGTGTAAAAACCCTCTGTATATGCAAATACAATAAAATAATACTTTGTGTCCATATTAAGGTGAGAATATCACATTTCCAGGGATAGGTTTCTTTTTAGAAATTTTTAAATCAAATTCCTAGCTTTCAGGCATGAAAACCTTTCAACAGGAGAAACACGATATAATAATTTTATTCTATCATGTTTTATCCTGTGTATAGAAGGACTATCATGACCAGAAGCTAGAGATTCGAATTAAAATTTTGAAATGAATATCTCTTGAAGCCGGATGTGTTTAACTTAATACATGAAAATCAGAACTCAAACGATAATCCCCGACGATATTCTAACATTTTGAGAATTCACATATTTATAATTTATCCTATTTTAAATATTTATACAGATTTTTGTATTTATGCTAAAATACACCTAGTACCATTCAAATTAATTAATGCTTTCACACAAAACACACCATATATTTATTTACATATAGAAAATGAAATAATTTAAACACGAATGTTTCTTTTATACAGAAAACACACTTCTACTGTCCTTACTGCGATGAAAAAAATATTGGGAGGGCTTTACACATCAGTGGTGAACCTTCCCAGCGGTTTCGCCAATTTAATCTACCAGACCGCTTCTTAGAGTTCTAATACTGTATTGGATGATTCTGCTTATATATGCTACAATGAAGGGTGGAATCTTTGTAATGGTATTTAAGTAAACTATGGACATAAACTTTTAGAAGTAAAACAAGTAAAACAGTAGAATTACATATAAATATTTGCAGATAAGGCGATAACGTGCCATCTATATATAATAAATGGAAGCATTTAAGCACAAACATATATTTTATAACATATTTACATATAAATTTTATTAATACAAAATATTTTTAACAAACATTTTTATATTAAATTGGGGTCGAAAATAAAAAATAAATAACATCGTTATTTTATCTGATATGGATGTTTATCTTTTTTTCAAAAAAAAATATTCAATTAGCACACGACCAAGCGAATGAATTGACGTCAATCTATTTTAATTAAAAAATTAAACCATTTAATTAAATCACATAGTGTCTGAAAGGACTCATTCATCTATTAACATATAATTAGATAGTATCAGGGTCTTCTGCTATTTATATTTTTTCATCTTTTGATATTATTAAACGCCCGACTTATTTTCTGATTTTTAAGATCAATTTTTCATGTTGTAATTAAATATTCACTTTTTTTAGTATTCACTTTTTAATTTATTTTTTAGTTTGTATATACACAAAAAATACGTGTAATAATTTTGATTAGTTTTAAAATGAATCGATTGATGACTGGCAAATTTATAGACTCATTTATATATTATACCTTTATTGTGTTAGTATATTTTATATTATTTTAAACAATAGCTTTAAGAACATTTCTGTTTTTTATTTATAGCATTTTTGAATAATAACCTTTTATATTGTGAAATAAACTCTGAGAGAAAACTGACAAAAACTATAACAAGACTTAGAACAAAACACTATAAAGGAATGACAATACATCCAGATGGCACAAGAACCTATAGGACATGCAACAACTGTCCTGGTGTGGAACTAACACCTACTCACATATTCTCATGCCCAGCAATGGCCGCAGCCTTGCAGAAAATTGACATGGACCAAGAGCAGCAGCTTTACACACCCAAGATAGAGAACACTGCTGTGATAGAAATGTATGGAGACATCTGAGGTTCCTAATTGGACACGACAACAACAACAACAACCTTTTATATTTTAAAAGAATGATTTTCTCAACTACATTTTTTTAAAGATAATTATTAATTTTAATAAAGACATTTTCAATATATATATGTAATAAAATAAATAAAGCCTCCTAATAAAGTGACCTTTACCGAAAACACACGAGATAACCAGATGTGAACAAAATTGCCTCCGTCTCATTCAAAAAACACACGACCGTGGATATAAATGATTTTCCATTTCCTTAAGTTTTATCTATTAGTATATATATGTACGGTACAGCCTACTCCACGCTGACGAGCGCCAATAAGTGCGAAACGCGTTCGTGGATGGCTTTTCTTGATTTATCAAGAAATTGGATTGGCCAAATATCAGGTAACAGGCTAAATCAATGTTTAGTTGATTTCTGTTCCACCAGATGGCGCTCTGACTTCTGTAAAGCACATGTACTCCTGGTCAGGATATGCCATTTTTAATATATGTATGTATAACATAAATATTTGAGGGAAAGTATATTATTCATGTACTAATTTAAAGATAGAGGTATCTCTTTTGGTAAGTGAGAGAGAGAATAATAACCTTATGCAACTTTATGCTGTACATTAAAATTCTCTGTCACTTCACCAGTTTAAACACCTTTCTAGTAAACTCTGCTTATTTCATAACTCCTCTCGTAGCTTGTTATGAAATCGAAGCTGCTTCTGTACTGATGAGGGTCAAAGCCAGAAACCATGGTATACAGGTTGTTGGCTTTTTGTCTGAATTTTCAAAACTGGTGTTGTGACTTATTCTTTATCTATACTAGTATAGTCTTACTAGGTGTTAAAAGTAATGCATTGTGTTCTAATGCACACATATTGGTGAATATATATTCTATATACAGTTACGAGCGTCATGCGTGGCCTCTGTCACGGTTTGCTTTTTTTTTTTTTTTTTTTGGAATGGCGCCCTCCTATTGGTCGGCTACGATCACGCCACCTTTGCCCCCCCCCCCCCCCCCCCCCCCCATTTCAGTAACTATTGTATTGGAGCGGGTCGCTCCTTAAATAAATGCATATATTAGTTAATAACCAAATGGAATCCTCTCTTTCTTTTTCCCAGTAAGAGACGCCTACGGAAGCCAACAGTACATAGACAGATAAAGCACATAAGCTATAGTTATTAACTAAAATATGCATTTATTTAAGGCTCCAATTTATAATTGTAACAAATAGTATTTGAATCAAAACATTCAATCGGGTAAAACACGGGCGTTGCCCGGGTCATTCGGCTAGTTTTTATATAATACACAGATAATTTTACCAGATTTATAAATATTCCAATAGTTCAACTATTTCAACTGTGAAACGCAGCCAACCGAAATATTGGCAAATAATTATTTTATATTCAATACAATATATACCTTTTTTACTTAAATATTTAAATATGAATTGCTATATTAAAAAATATATATGTATGTGGAAAAGTAAAAAGTAGAGAAAATGATTCTTTTGGAATGGCAAGGAAATCTTTATTAATTTACATGTCTAATGCTGTACCAAAATATCATCGGAAACTATATTCCTTATATTTATTTATGAATATTGTATCTCTGCATTGTTACATATATATTAGTTTCTATTCATGATAAAATTGTGAAAATGGTTTTAAAAATCCAAAAATATTTTCTCACAATGAATTTCTTTTCATTTTAAAATGCTAGCTTTCAAGTGATAATCGCTTTTCTTGTTCAAATTGTGGTTTAAAATGATTTAACATGATTATTTTATTTTTTTTTAATTCAATTAAAACTATTCACGGCCTAAATTTATTGTATATATATGTATAGACAAATGTAAAGGCATACATGTATGACAGCGCAAGTGTCCCTAGGGGGTGATAGTGCTTTAAATTGAAATAAAATAAAAAATAGCGGGCTTAATGAAAAACATCGATTATATATTACAATAAATGTTTACAAATATATACGCGCAGCGTGGATATTTACAACTGAAATTTGAAAAATATATATTTGTGGATATTTCTTGTAAGAAATGGTCGATGTTTTATTAAGCTTGTTGAAGAGCGATTATCACTTGAAAGCTAGCATTTTAAAATTCAAAAAAACTCATTGTGGAAATATTTTTTGTAGTTTTTAAGTACAATACAATATAATGTGGCTTATGATTGTAGAATGATGTTTGACAATATTCCGCAAATGTTTCTTTTGAAAAAAAAATCTAAATTTATTTTAAGGAGAAATAATAATTATTTCTAACCTTAAGAATGAAGTATGAGGGGATGATTTGTAAGAGTAATGATAAACGTAAAAATTAAGTGTCCAGGGATGGAAATCGAACCCAGAGTGTTTCGCTTACCGGGCAGATGCCATGACCACTAGGCTACACTGAACATATTTTTCCGTTCGTAAATATTATAAAAATAATTTATAAAACAATATAATGCGGCTTATGATTGTATAACGAAGTTTGACAATTCTCATCTCTAGAGGTTGTAGTATAATATTATAAAATTGTGTCGATATATCTGAAACTAGGCCGGTGTAACATTGACCAATACAACTGCAAATTTCTATCCTCACTGAATGAATTAGAATAGATTTGCACTAAGAATATTTCCGATATTGAGGCAGATGGGTTTGATTACTTAGTCGGGTTTTCTCATAGTAGAATTTTCTTTTGTATGATTAAATTAACTTAGAGAATATATATATGCTACTTACAATTTATAATTTAATCTACAATGAAATTGTGTGAATTTTTTGAAGGAATTTATATAAAAAAACAGTTCAAAATATCAAATTAAAAATTTTCTATATGTTTTATACTAATTTTTTGATCAAACAAATTATATTTTTATTTCATATATTAAAATTACGGATTTTCTCTACTAAATACCAACATTTGAAATATAATTATCAATAGTGCCATCTATATTTAAAATTGGAGGCTATTGGGTGTGATTCTTTTCTCTTTCAAATAAACTGGAGAAACCGCTGGGGGATTTACCATTGATGAGCCAGGCCCTCCCAATATTTTACACATTAAGTTAAAGAATATCAGTAATAAATTGTTTTAATTGAATCTAAAACGATAAAAGAATCATGCTGAATCATTTTTACTCAAAGTTATTTATGTTTTATATGAAGAGTATAAACGTGATTTTTACTTAGATCAGGTGGATAAATCGATCAGAAGACGCCTTTTTTTATCTATGTTTTGTTTAAATAGAATTCTATATACAGTTACGAGCGTCATGGCCTCTGTCACGGTTTGCTTTTTTTTTTGGAATGGCGCCCTCCTATTGGTCGGCTACGATCACGCCACCTTTGCCCCCCCCCCCCCTCATTTCAGTAACTATTGTGTTGGAGCGGGTCGCTCCTTAAATAAATGCATATATTAGTTAATAACCAAATGGAATCCTCTCTTTCTTTTTCCCAGTAAGAGACGCCTACGGAAGCCAACAGTACATAGACAGATAAAGCACATAGGCTATAGTTATTAACTAACATATGCATTTATTTAAGGCGCCAATTTATAATTGTAACAAATAGTATTTGAATCAAAACATTCAATCGGGTAAAACACGGGCGTTGCCCGGGTCATTCGGCTAGTTAAATATAACATAAAGTTACGGGAGAATAGTAGTCATGTACTAAAAGTAGCACCTCTCCCATAATAATACATTTTGGTCAGCATCCCAGTTAAAGACATAAAGGTTGTGATGAACGATGATATCCAGTTTAGAAATTTTCAGACAAAAAGCCAACCTATATACTATTATTTCTGGTTATGGCCCTCACCAGTACAAGGATGGCTTCGATTACATATTTTCCAATGAGAGGAGTAACGAAATCCGTCAAATTTACCAAAAAAAAGGTGTTTAAGCTGGTGAAATGGCAAGACAATTTTTTTTCAGGTCAGAATACAACATAAAGTTGATTCTATTTTTGTTTAAAGTATCAATGCATTAATTCATTAGAATAATGTACAGGTACTTTCTGTACAATTGGTTAGGATACATATAAGGCCTGGCGACTTCCATAGAGAAGAAGGTAAAGCTGGGTGGTTTTCTTCCTATATCAGATAGTACAGGTTGTCCACCTTTGAATCTGACTCACTCCACAATCTGAGGTAGGATAAACCCAGAGTTGATACTCGTATATATATCCCAAACTTATCTCTGCCATGTACCGCCGGTCAACGATTGAGATTTAATATTTTATTGACATTTTATAAATATATAAATGGTAGTAAAATAATAATATTAAACTAAAACAAATGTTTCGTTTGTTGATAGAGGTGAATCGCTATACTAATCCTGCATTAAGGCATGCGCGAGAAATGGATTGCTGTACCAATTCTGTTCATCCCAATACTATCACATGTTGACAAAGAAAACTTTTTAACAGATCTATTTTATCAACTACGAATGCGAGTATCTCTTTTGGCGGAATACATTAATTAGAAAACTATTAAGCGTGTATTTATTTAAATCAGTATAATTATAACAATTAATATATATATGTATGTGTCATTATTTTTAGAAATGTTAATATGAGTATGAGGAAAGGGAAGAGAAAACGGCCTGGTCTGAACAACCTCCTGGGTGACCATATGTCCAGCCTTCTGAAACCAAACATTTCAGGGGCTCCTCAGTGAATGTTTCGCACAGAAAGAACCTTGTTGATATGTGCCCATTAAAAAGTATATATATATATCCATTATATCATATTTTCTGACTTAAAATATATAAAATATTTAGCACTAGATTGATTTTTCTTGGTATAAAATATGACCGAAAACTTCTTCCAGCTTAACTCTATACGCGGTTAAAATTTCAGCTAGATTAATTACATATTGAGGGCGTGCATAGCCGACAAACAAATATACATGCTCTGACTTTTTATACATATAGAGATAGAGACAAGCTTTGAATTTTATACTGAATATTTTTGCATTTGGAGTGATGTTGAATTTAAATCCTCAAAATGAATATTCAGAAACTAGTTACTTCTCGAATAAATATGAAAATTTTAATTTCTTTTGATGTTAGAGAAACTTTTTTAATAATTAAGGTCAGATAGGATAGGAATATGATTATAATAAAGAGTGAATGGCAAAACGATGTACTCCATCATATTTCTTAGGTGTTGAACGTCCATCGTGATGTTATAAAGCTGTTTTTTATTTTTAATCCACAGATCAATCATTTATCAAAATTATCGCATCAAATTATGGATATAATGAGAAGAATTCATTTGAATTTCCTGTTTTATCTATTAATATTTCTCAAGTTAGTTTCCCGAATGAATGTATTTCATAAATTGAATTCATTATTATATTGAGAAAAAATTAGTTATAAAATATAAATTAGGTTTCTTTGGTCACGCCGCTCCAACAATGAGCACTTTAGATAAAATACTTTTACTCTAGGTAGGATGTCTAGGAGCCTGGCAGGGCTGATTTGATCTGGTTCGGCCGAGTAATGCCTAAAAAAGGGCGGAGGCTGACTCGAGCGACTCGATTTCGGAGCTCTGTTAGAAGAGTGGTATAGGCCTACTGGGGAACCCGCCACTATAAACAAAGGGTAACGCGCCAACGGCAGTACCTCCTGGGTGGTGTGGAAATTATGCCTAAAATAAAAAAATAATAATAAATGAATACACACAAATAAATAAATTCCAATAAAATTAAAGCATCTACAAGGTAAACGATCAAATATTCATGCCGTATCTATAACAAATGTTCCTTAACATTAAATATTACCATTGAGGAATCAAACATTTCAGCCAATTAACCAACACTTCTGGTATTTCTTTTGATATAAAAACTGCCCTTGAATCGGATTTTCCCATTTTGGAGATGTCCGAGCATGGTAAGATGATTAGTTCTCTTCAGATTTCATCAATCTTGAGTAAGCGTTCCCTAGAACTGATTTTGTGATTCTAGTGAAGATTTTTACTTAAGTTGTGTCAGTTAGGTTTTCAGTGTAGAAGACCATATTGATGGCTTGAAATAAAACAATGTTTTTTCAATAAGAGAGTCTTATTTTGGAAAGAAATTATTATTTAAATATTTCAGGGACCAGCACGCTTGCCTCTTTCAACACAAACTAGAATATAGTGGCAAGGTTTTCATTGAAGATAAGTTTTATATAATAACTGTATATAATTAACTCTAACCTTCTAGATACTATAAAATTGATTTCTTTAAGAAAGGCGAATGTGTTTCACGTTGAAATATATTTTTAAAAATATAGTTTTGTAGAACTGCAAGATAGACACTTCTTATATTGAAAGTTTACTATTTATATATTGAAATATTTTGTAAAAATAAGCAATTCCTATCCAGCTGTGTGCCCTCGAGCTCATGTGCTCTTTCAATGGCATCAGAAGCGAAAAAGCGATCAACTCATTATTTCATATGCAACAAATTGCAGGCACAATATTCGTATTATGATGAATTAGCGCGCTATCTGTTATCAAAATTCGAAACTATTATAGATGCGTAAGATTATTTTAAAAATAAAATAATTTCTAATGCCCTTACTGCAATGGGTTCTCCAGACCTATAAACTTTTAAGCCCCACTCAGCATGGCTCTAGTAGGCCACAAATTCTGGATGGTGACAAAAAAGTTGAAAGTCTCAAGAAAAACTAGGATGTCGCACAGTGGCGACGTTCCCCTGAATGTAGTGTTCATGAAAAATCCATTTTAGAACTCTCTTTTATAATTTTAAATATTTATTTGGTACAAACTGGATTAAAAAACACTCGATGTGGAAGTTAAGATGCGGCGTAAAAAGCGTAATCGTACGGCCCTAGAAGGACCTCAGGTCTTGGATGGTCCCTACACCTGATGGAGCGGTTCCTGGAGGACTTCAAGTCTGGCATGATGACCACAGCCTAATTGAAATGGCCAAGAATTGAGTTCTCCAGACCTATAACCTTATAATCTCCACTCAGCATGGCTCTAGTAGGCCACAAATTCTGGATGGCGACAAAAAAGTTGAAAGTTCAAGAAAAACTTGGATGTTGCTTATTCTCGAGGGCACAAATCAAGCATGATGGATTTAATTCCATATATTTATATATGAATATTGCGAAAAATCTAAACAATTATAGACGCGTATGATATTTTTAAAAATAAAACAATTTCTACTGCCCTTAATGCAATGGCATCAGAAGCGAGAAAGCGATCAACTTTCTTTTTACAATTTGAAGTATTTATTTGGTACAAACTGGATTAAAAAAGCACTCGATGTTGAAGTTAAGATGCGGCGTAAAAAGCGTAATCGTACTGCCATTACAATCCATCATGCTTGATGTGTGCCCTCGGGAATGTGCAAGTAGGGCTATTACGAGATTCGTAAACCTGGGGTTTTTCATGAA